ATTGTCATAATCAAACCTTGCTTGCAAAGTATAATCAACAATTATCACTAAAAGTTAATTATAAGATATTTACTTTATATACTTATCAACAAGTATGATTTTATACTCGGTGGCGAGAAGATTAAAATTGGATGAAGACATTAGTGAACTTTAAATAATATCTTTTTGAGTACATCATTTTAAATTGACTTCCCGTAGCTTAAAAATGTTGGGCAATTTCGCTTGGAGTTTAGGTAAAAATAAAAAAAAAACATAATATCGTGTTAGAGGAGCGCCAGCCCTAGGGGTGGCGGTAAGTAGAGTGTAATTACGGCAGTATTTAAACACAGCGGCACTCTCTCTCAGGTGGGAACTATGTTTTTTGGCAGTGGCATTGTTCGATCGCACGAGTGCGATCACGACGCCGACGCCGCGCACCCCCCCCCCCTCCTCGCCCCCCTCGTGAAAGTCGCGGAAACATTTGCGACACACACATCACTTTTAATTAAACTCAGTTGGCGATTACGAAAAAAGTGCGTATCGGATACAATGTGGATTCCGTAACAATTGTGTAACGAACTCTATAATTTTGTATACAATACTCTCGTGTTATTTCTACGACTCAATGCTGTTGTGTTGCATTTAAATTCACGCATGTTTTTAATGATTGAATGTTATAAACATTAGAAACGGAAAGGATGTAATATGATAAAGGACTCGTTGGTAGTGTACCCGCTCGGTGAATTCCCAACAATTTATCAGCTTCCGGCGCTGCGGGGGCAGTTTCGTACGAGTTACTGTAGCAAAAATACTACTAATAAAATAAGATTAATCAAAAATGTTATTAACGGTTTTTAAATAATGGGATTATTGTATTTAAATTAATCTGAATATTTATCGCAATTAATTAACTATAAGGTCATATATCGCCTCATCCTATTAATATTATAAAGGCGAAAGTTTGTAAGTATGGATGTATGGATGTTTGTTACTCTTTCACGAAAAAACTACTGGACGGATTTGGATAAAACTTTACAGCAATATAGGTTATACATCAGAATAACACATAGGGTACTTTTTACTGGGAAAACTTCTCACTCCCACGGGATACCGACTTCCACGCGGACGAAGTCGCGGGCGTCCACTAGTAAGGTCATATATCGCCTCAAGATCGCAATAAGGCTCAGGTGCTATATCCTGGATCAGACGATTGTTTAAAACTAGAATGATTTTGGAATTCCCAGTAGGAAAGGATCACAATCTCAAATGTTTCTTTAAAAAAAAGTTGACAACTCGATCCTCTTTATGAGAGCAGACGTATTTTGATTTAATACATCGAAAGCTGTAGAAACGCACATTAGTTGTAAGCGTATCATATTTATTAAAATGATACACGTTGTACTGTATGTATGGCTCGAAGTTAGATTGGAAACACGTGCGCGGGAGCAACACCGAAGCAGCGCGGATTTATTTATTATTGTACGGTAGGTACGTATGTATGTATACACGTGACGCCTGCGCCTGCGCCCGCCACAAACATGTCTCATATGTTTAGTTAAACTTAACACACTTTATTGTTATGTCACACACAACACTGAACACTAAAGATAAGGTTATTAAATAACAATGAAAGATAAACTGGCCGCGATAGTTATAATTTTCATTGATACCAAACAGGAACTTATATATTAAGTACTAACTTATATATAAGATCATCGAAATAGAGATCATTTTACACTTTATTAAAATAAAATAAATCTTAAGGTAAAAATCTAAACGAATCAGCCATGAGTTTCTGTAAAAATCGGAACCCGCATTCACTAAGTTGTCAGAATTCACTTCAAAAAGAGGCATCCGCTCAACCTTGAATTAGTAATAATGTTTCGTGGCATAAGTGAAGTGAGTTTCGAAATGACATAGGAATAGAATATCTGAGATACGTATATTAATCAATTTTATTTTGTATTTTTATACAAAAATATTGAATTTGTAAACTAAATGACGTGAATTCGGCCACATGAGTGAATTCCAATTCGGGTCTGGATTTTTATAGAATCGCGGGGCAGCAGCCAGAATAGTTTTGGACAGCACCTAAAGCGATAGACATCGTCACATTAGTCGTTGTTTGTGTTGCAGATTCATTTATATCTTAATGACCTACACCTACTTTGCAAGGGTGTACTGTACGATCGGCAAAATAAGGACTACCACTCTACAGTCGAGATTCTTTGGAACGTCATGAAACAGCGAGGTGTAGTTTTTCTTGCAAAAATATTGTGACCGACAAATATCAGACATCTCAGAAATTTTGTTGTTTTTTTAGCATATCTCGTTCAGACACAGACAAACAGACGCAGCAAGCCGACTACGTTTTATAACACGTATCTATTAGATTATCTATATAAGCTTGAGTTTCCGTAAATGACATGAAGTTCAAAATGATGTTTCAGTTTGCACTTAATAATTTTTTATTGAACGATTAACTTGTACTGCATAATAAATTAACTGTAATAACAAAGCGTTGAGGGTAACAAGCAAGTGTTAGTCACAAAAGGAAATGATTACCGACTGTAACCCACATACACTGCAAATTAGATAAAGGTTACGGACTCGGCACTGCTCTAATGGTGCACATTAATTACGTTTCAGTTAATTCCTAACGATAGTAGATAGAAAATTAATATATTATTATCGTTGTGTCTCAAAATAATGGGGACTTCATCTATGAATATTGGATAAGGGGAGTTAACGTTCATGTTATTGACAGAAAAAATGACAATAACGGCACTACATCTTTATAAATAAGAAAGAATAAATTATAAATACAATTGAATTGCAAAAAGACAAAACTCGATAGCGGGTGAACTCTTTATTATTCGTCGAAGTCCGCGATTTATATGAAGAGTCTCTTAAGTCTGTATATAAATGTGAGGACCTCGTACGTCGATTAATGCCGTCTGAGCCGATTCGAGCCGCGGCTATGGCCGCCGCGGTGGCTACGAAGGGCGAAGGGCCCACTGTATAATATGTGAAAAATATAGTCGCGCACGAATCACGCGGTGCTTTGTTACTAGATGCGGGACTTGTCACATCGTTAGATTACTAGTTTGGTGTCAATGGCTGGTGCCAGGCATGAGCGAGCACGTTATTATAATCTGTGGTCATCCAGCTTTACGGATCTTCGCAGACGTATCGTTCAATACGAACGACGTCTTTTAATTTGAATTGAACTAATTATTTAAATGAAATAGTCTCAAATCACGTAAAACAAACTTAAACGAACACTTACTTTATGATACAATCACTTTATTTAAAAAAAATGTAATTTCCGTATACCGATTTAATTGTAAAGTGAATTATTTAGTGCGTGCACATTTAGAAGGAAATATACGGCGGGTGTACCGCGCAGCCTTGGCATTAAAAGGTAATTATTGCAGCGGCCGGCCTGATGCTGGCGCTCGCTAATAGTTCCTGGCTCCGCCCCCGAGTGGCGCGCGAATATCAACCGACGCGTGCGGTGTATCACCGGCCGAAATCTGACGGCGACTCTCCAAACAAGCGTTCAATTGATGTAATATATTATATCCAACATTCCGTTCTTGTTCCCATGTATTCGATTAGCTGTTCGTTCAAGTTTTTGATCAATTCATGACACATAACATCATTTTAGTCAAAATATAAATACAATTTATGTTTAAAATGAAATTTGGTATCTTATGTTTCCACTTGGTCTGCATATTCGCAGAGTTTATTTAACCGATATTTATATTTTCCATCGGAGAATGGTAATGTGGTTAAAACTACTAAGGCTCGTCATTATCTTCGGTCACCGCCTTCGTAGCCGATCTGCCTTGGTCGAACGATTATGTTTTAACAGCATCAACGATCCCAGCGAGGCACCAGCGAGCGACCCGCTCGAAATTCACGAAACAAACGTTCCGAATGAAAGCATGATCAATCTGATCAGTCTCGACACGGTTCAGTGGACAATATGAATTCCGGAATAGGTACTCCTCCGTAATGATGACAATAAGACATACAGAACACGTGAAAATCTTGCTCGATCATTTTGAATATATGATTCGCAATTTTTTTTATTAATTCGGTAATTGTTGGGTCATTATCACCATAATAATCGAACGGTTTTTGCTACAAGCGTTATGTTGAAAAACAATGAACTCTAAACTTATTCCAATCATCGATTGAACGACTCGAAATTTTGATTGGTTAAGAATTTTGATTGGTAATTTCGTTTCGAAACAAGGGATTTCACAACACGCACCCGGCTTATTCACTTTCCTGTCGTATGTGACGTGTTAATTTCTTATTGACTTCAACTTTTTTTATTTGTTTCATGTCAGTATTATTTACGAAGTGTTATTCTGAATACAGATTAATTTGTTTGAATAATATGTTCAAACACAACGTGGCGTCGGGTCGCGGGTCGGCCCCGGACGCATCACTTTCACCGTTCGATAGAAAACTGTTTTAATATATTTACATACCGCCGGTTGCACAATCGATGATTTCACGAATCGAATCTCGCGGCAGGTGGCGATGGAAAGTATTTTTACTATCGCACGAACGTTCGATTAATTTATTAGTTTATTTTTGATGTGTTAATTTTATCAGTAAGAAGAGTCTACATTTATGATGACTATACCTAAGCGATATGAATAATCGGAGACAGGGCGGGGGGACGGGGGCAGGGGTGAGACTTATAATCATCATTCGCTACCCGGCTACGGATACAACAATTTGTAATTAAAGTGATCTATGGATGTGAGAAATTGTAGGGACATCATCAGAAATCCGCGCCGCCGCCGCCAACCGGCGGGGGCGAACGTTAAATTATTCAATCGGAGTGCGCAGTTTACGCGACCGGTCATGATCGATTTGCTTATGCAACTGCGGCAAAATGGAATTTATTTTCTAAATTCCTGTTCTTTCTTTCTTATTTTGAACTAACGTCAGACGGCTTAAGTATAAAGTTTTAACCGTTCGTATCGTCGCTACAAATTTTAATATCGCCACCGGGACTGGAAACTTCCGGGAAAGTGTATGTCGTTTACGACGGGCCACACGACGCGATCGGAACGGAACGGACGCAACGAAAGAGCGAAAGAGCGCACGCAACTCACCTTGAACCGGGCCCGGCGGCCGCCGCGCAGCACGATGCCGTCGTTCTCGATGTAGTCGGGCACCTCCTTGCGGCCCGAGAAGTCGAACACCACCGACGTGGCGGGGGGCGGCGCCCGCGCCCGCCGCGCGCCCTCCCACGGGCTCCTGCGCTCCTCGCTCGCCGCCGCCGACTCTCTCTCCTTCGGTTCGGCCGCCGATCTACGGTCTCCGCTCCCGTTCCACGCCCGCTCGACGTCCGCGGTTCCCAGACGCGACGGCGCGCTCCCCGCCGGCGGCCGCGGCTCGGGGTGGCCGTTCGCTAGCGCCTTCTCGTCTTTCGGTCTCGGGTCGCCGGGCTCCGTCTCGTTCTCTCGGGGGGGCTCCGGCTGCGGCGGCGGCGGCCGCTCCTCGAGCGGGCGGCGCGGAATCGGCTCCACGAGGGCCGCCGGGGGCGGGTCTCGCCTTTCGAGGCGGATCGCGGGCCCGAGCTCGGGCTCGGCCGGAAGCGGCGAGGTCGGCCGGGGCGTCGCCGGCGGGGACGCGAGCTTGGGGTCGATCTCGAGCGGCGGCGGCTCCGGCGGGTCCGGCGAGCGCATCGGCATCGGGCGGATGACGCCGACGCGGCGCGCGCGGCCCAGCAGCACCGGGTTGGCGGCGGCCGGCGGCGGCAGGTGCGACCCCCCCCCGCGCGCCGGGAACAGGAAGCGCACCGACGAGCCCGCGCGCGCGATGCCCTCCAGCGCCGCGCGCGACACCGGCCGCGCCGCGCCGTCGCCGTCGCTCTCGTCGAACGAGACCGCCGCTGTCGGCTCGAGCGGGGGCGTCGGGGAGCGCGGCGCCGCCGGGGCCCGGTCCCGGGGCTCCGGCGTGGAGGTGTGCGCGGGGCCCTCGAGGCCGCGCAGGACGGCCGACACGCGGGCGGCCGGCGCCGTCCGCCGCGCGGGCGCACTCTCGAATTTTCGAAGCGCCGCCCGCACCGCGTCGGGCGGGGGACGTTCCGTATCTCTCAGGAGAGGAGTCGGCCGCCGGGGAGGGCGGGCGCCGCGGGCGGGCGTCGGCCGGGGAGCCGGCTCCGGCGGCGGCGTCGGGGGCGCCCGGGGCGGCGGCGGGGGCGAGGGCGCGGGAGGCCGGGGTGGCCCGGCGGTCGGCGGCGCCCGGGGCCCCGGCGAGGGCGATCGCGGGGGCGGGGGCGACGGCGAGGCGATACGGGGTTCCTCGCGGGAGTCGAGTCCGCTGAGCGCGTCGACGGACCGGGCTCGCTTGACGATGTCGCGGCGCGGCTGCGGAAGGAACGCGGGCGGCGCGGCGACGGAGGCGGGGCGGGGCGCGCGGGCGGGCGGCGGGCGCGGCGCGGGGGGCGGCCGCTCGTCCAGGAGATGCTCGAGCGAGGCGGCGCGGCGGAGAACGGAGGGCCGCCGGCGGGGCGCGTCCCGCAGAGCGAGGCTCAGGTAGCGCGACTTGAGTCGTTTGACGATGCCGGGCCCGTAGCGCAGCTCCTCGTCCTCGTCGGGCGGGGCGTGCGCGGGGAGCGGGGGCGGGGGCGGGGGCGCGTGGGCGGGCGGCGGGGTGGGGCGCGAGCGTGCGGCGCGCCGCTGCAGCAGCTCGCGCTTCCACTGCGGGAGAGCACCGTTCGACATGCCTGCGGGGATGATGAGAGTGGTGACGTTCCGAAAGATTTTTTTATAATAGAAGGCAACGTAACTAGTTTCGGTTTTATTAAAAGTACTAAAGTTTCAAAACGCCTTATCCTTCGATACCATGTGTACGGTATGCTTATTTGACAAAATGATGAAATATACCTCCTATTTTAACTTCACGAGTACAATATGACCTAGTAAACGAATAGTTATAATACTGATTTAGTAGGTACGTTCAGATTGACACCAGAGTGACGAAACGGCGACTTACAAAATGCTTTCTCATTAGCATAAATGTGACAATGTGCTGACGAGAATAAGTATCGAGTGAATTGATTGAAACTTATATTTTATGGGGCCCGATTTATATATAGAAAGTAGATCTTTGGTAGTTGTAAAGAGATGTTGAGCTCGAAAAAGCAGTGTTTAGCGCGCTCGGATTTAGTACCGATCACAGGATAGGTGACCAAAAATTTATGAACGCGAACTCCTCAGTGTTTTTAAAACATGTTAAACCGTTAGTTCCGGCTGCAGCCGAACATGACGGGTTCTCCCTATTCGATTCCATCCCCAGGGAAGGCCTGAGCCCCAGGAGTGAGGGTATTAGGCTGGTGATGATGATGATGATGAAAGAAATATTAAGACAACACCAATGGGTGTAACATTATCCTACTCACCGAAGTCCTGTGAGGACTCGAGCATAGTCTCCACCATCATCTTGCACGGCCTCCGCGATCAAGCAACTAAGGTACAACAAGCAACAAAATAAACATAAGCATAACTTGTTTTAACTCAAATATATTATTGGTAGCATTGCGAATATTTTAATTAAATATTGTTCTCAAAAATATTTTAGGAGTTTATAAATTGAAGAATTTAAAATTATAAAATATAATTATTGCAACTATGATATTCTAATATAGGAAAATGAATAAAAAATGCTTAAAAAATCCACTTTGTCCCTGGCACTTATCATTAAGAATACTTTTTAATATACCTAGTCTAGCCATAAATTCTGTTACTAGCTGTTTACATACATTAAAAAAAAACATTAATTAGAATTTCGAACGTTAGCTTCTAGGATAAAAAAATAGACTTCTTTTCCGCCATTATTGATGTTTTTTGTTTAAAAATTATTTGTTTTGAAAATGGTGTGGGGCATTAAAGAGAATAGGATTGCAGTAATTGCACTGTACAAAGTAGGTAAGGAGTAAGCCGACATTTTTGATATATTGGAAAAGCTAGGGATTAGCCAAATTTTTGTGTATCCTACACTGAAACCGTGTCTGTTGACAACCGTGAGAGATGCGATCCACCGCAGTCTACACGAACAAACCAGGCCGTTAATGCAGTCAAGGCCAGAATTCTTCGAAATCCCACAAGGAAGCAGAAAATCCTTTCCAGAGAAATAAGACACTATCTCGGATTATCAAACAAGACTTAGGTCTAGGGGCTTACCGGAGTAACACAGGACATACCTTAAATCAGGCAATAGAACAAAAGAGAGTCGAAAGATCAAAACAGTTGTTACTTTGATACGCGCACGAAAAACGCAGAAAAATTCTCTTTACCATTGTATATGCACACAGCTCTAAAGAAGCTTTCGAGGTAGTGGCCAAAGTTCAGCGAGGCCATCATCTAGCATACACCCCACCAAACCATGACGGTTTGGTGGGGTGTCTCCTACCAAGGGGTAACAAAACTCGATCTTTGCGAAAAAGAAATGAAAACTTCAGCCAAAGTGTATCAAGATAATGTGTTAGAAGCGGTAGTTAAACCTCTCAAGAACACCTTATTCAAAAACGAACATTCCAATAGTGTTTAGCCCTGGGTCATTCATAAGGCGCGCACTTCTCAAATTTGGCTTAAGCAAAATGTTCCAGACTTCATAAAGGCTGATTATTGGCCTTCCACTAGTCCGGATTTAAACGGTTTAAAAGCGTGCGTTAAAGCTAAGGGTGGACACTATGAATAACTAGTTTAGTATGTTAGCATATCTTTTTCACTCTACATAATCACATATAAAAGTTTAAAATAAAATATATATATATTTTTTTTTTTAAATTACCGGATATTTTCTTTGTAACAGAATTTATGGCTAGACTAGGTATCTTTTAATGTACTATTATTTATTTGCACACAATTTTTATGCAAAAATTATGACATATTAAATTGTGATCTTGATAATATGAAAATTACTCCACCATCACAAGTATCACTTTTAAATGTTATAGATAGATAATAAAATCTACATAAGAAGTTATATTTTTTTAGCATCCTAACTAATAATAAACATTATTTGGATTAACAACAACACATTCTAATTTATAACTATTTAAGATTAAATAAACTAAATCAAAGAAAAGAAAAATCACAAAGCAACAGAAATTAAATCAAAAGCAAGAAATATGTTGGCTGTGTGTTGCAGCAATGCACAAGGGTCAAGGCTCAGCATACGATCACCGAATACCTCTTAGGTATACCCAAATCCTGCTTTTCAGAGTCACTTTTGAAGTAGATATACTTAGAGGTGGTAAGTTGTTTCAGCATTTAGCTGCTAGGTAACGGAGACTATCAGTGAAAGCAATTGTCTTGTAAGGTGACTCTCCAGTAAACATCCATTAGCCCAGGCTCCATACTTGTTGGGATGATGAAACTGAAGCTTAGCTAAAAGATAAGTTGGCTTCTGGAATTTGATAATGTTGGATAGGAGACTGGTGAGGTGCAGATGTCTACACAAATCCATATTTAACATCGAAGCCTTATTCAAATAGGGTGTAATGTGACTTCTAGGAGGTATTGTAAGAAAGAAACAACAACAGGCATTATGCACTTGCTGAATTAGACCCTGAAAGCAGGCATGGACTATACACTAGATTTCTTTAATTGAGTTTTGACAGTATCAATGGTTCACATATATTTATATGAACTTTTTCATCTAGAAGATTGCGAATTTTACAAAGCACTTCCAGTCAATGAAAACAGTTTCTAGCTAAATTCAATATATGGGTTTCAAAACGCAAATAACTATCCATAACGTTGCCTAAGATCTGGCCTCTTTTATGTGTCTATACTATTTAATTTTGAATGATTTATTTTTGGTTGTTTTATTAGTGGCGTACTTAACTCTTAACTCAAATTGCTTATATACAAGGACAGATTATTAAAATAAAATAAAAAATAAAACTTTACTCAAACTGATAGCATTTTTTCATCATCTACAGCAAAAATACATTCTTGTTAGTGGACAGGTTAATATTGTGAGTTATTCATAAGATAAGCATTACAAGTTATTCTATATTCTTATGCCATTATTATTGTGACAAATACTTATTTGACATTTGTCACATTACTCATTCAAGATAATTTATCATAACTAAATTACAGTGAATTAGGTATATTAATTATGAGAAACAATAAAATCATATCAGCAAAGTAATTAATATGAACATTATTAACATTTTATTAAATTATAACCAATGCAAATGTTATACAGTAGTGAAATTATAAAAAATGCTGGCAATTTGCAAGTTGCTAGTGAAATTAAAATAATATTAAACAAGCCTTCAGTTATTTCTATTTATTGCATTGTAATTGCAAATATAAATAAACTTTATATAATATACATTGCAAATATGATATTTATATACCTAGTTGAATCTGTGTAACTTTTGTAGTTTTATTGCATTATATATAACAGACAATACTGAAGCAACATAGTAGAAGTCTGGAATGTGCATTATTTTATGAATGTTGTAGTTAGTGCATGTCGTCATTCGCCGGCAGCCCCGAGACGTCGACGACCCCGCCAATATAACTGTTCATAAACTCCACCGAATTATCACCACCACACGACTGTTTAGCACCGGCCCGACACGGTGCAATAAAATCTACAAGCGTGCCCGCCATCACATTTCACACATCGGTGCATTCTTTGCAGTGTATCACAGAACTTACCTGTTAAAACTCCATCGAAGACTGCTACTCTCATAAAACGTTGATATTCCACACCGTGCGTATTTTATCGTAGTCCCATGCCCGAAAAACGAAAGTATCCAAAGTTATTTATTTATGATAACTTCTTAAACCAGAGCGAAGAAATTCACCAAAACACACACACGATTGTAACCACTACTGTTCTTCACACACAAATCACCCCAGTGCGAATCACCGACTTCAACATTGGCCAATTTTATCTATTGATTTGTTTCACATGTCATATTATGTTATCAACACACTTATCACTTTAGACATATTAAGGGACTACTTTTTAAATATTTTAATCTCTTGCTAAAATAATCGTAATTAAGTACATAAGCACGTAGCTTAAATTCAAACTCAGTTAATTTTCAGAACAAAACAATAAACTGTAATGACAAAACAAACTACGCTACGTTGCTGTTGTTGACTGACTGAACTGACTGATGAATGAAACAGAACGCGGCGAGCAAGTAGCGAACGAGAAGGAAAAGAACAAAATGCTGACAGGGCACAAAAACCTAGGAAAAAGATTCTTTGTTATAATAAACTTATTATTTTGTGTAAGTATAATATTTTTATTGGTTTATTTGAATACTTCATGATTTGCGTGCAAATACATATTGACATTCAAAAATAGTTTTCCAAAGTAGTAAAACAATAGCGTGAAATAGAACGTTATTGGCGCGAGTTTTACTCCTAGCGGCATTTGTGGTTTCACTTCTGAATCAGTATTGAGTTCGGTAGTTTTTTTATAGATGGCGCTTATATTGAACAATTTTCATTACATTGGTAAATAGTGTTTTGACACAGGATTTGATTTGGTTATTTGCACGTTACACTTTGCACAAACGGCATTTTAGCCAGAAGTCATGTTTTTTTTGTACGAATACCTAGTATTTTTGATACATATCGGGTAAGTATATAGACAATAAATGGATTTTGTATTATAAGTATCGGTTTTATTACTTTTGTTAGTGATTAATATACTCAATTCATTCATTCTGAATGGTGAATGAATCATTCACCATACCATGGTGAATGAATCATTCACCATACATAATATAGAAATATTATTGAGACTTGATGTAGTTTTGTTGTTGTAAGTTTAACAAACAACTAATACCAATAAAACGTTATTGTTTTCAGAACTTTTGTTAAATATTATAATGAAAAATTCCTAGACCTACTATGGCATAAGTATTTTTTTATAAAAACTATTTGGTGGTAATA